TTTTTTTTTTTTTTTTTTTTTTTTTTTTTTTTTTTTTTTTTAACATTTTTTTTTTTTTAAAGATCTAAACTCCTATCTCAACTTTCTTTATATTTCTACAAAGCAAGACTATGAGCTAAAGCAAATGTTCCCTACAAAAGCAGTTACAAACGAGCATAGTTCTACTTTTTAAAATTCATGAGGTCTATATAGTAGATGGGAATGTTTGGCTCCTTCATCGAATGAGTTCTTCTTTATGTGCCGCTTATCGTTTGACGTGTAGTTTTATTTGAACATAGTTATTCCATAAGTAAATACAACAAATTTGTTTGGGTTAATAAAATTAAATATTTGTCCTCCTTAGTAGTTGTTTTAAAATCTTCAGTCCCTTCAATTGAAAACTAAGACCATAAGGAAAAACTTAAATAATAAAAAAAAGCAAAAACTAAGATATTACATCTGCTTCTTTCTTTTAATGAAAAACGTTAGATCTGCTTTGAGTAAATAAAATTTGAAAAGACAAAAAGAGAATAACGCCTTCATGAACATAACCACAAATGCATTTGGCTGCGAAGCGGACACACAGAGGGACAAATGAGGTCAGTCCATCCATGGATGCCGGAAAAAATGGTTATGGAGGTCAGGGGCAACCTCAAGCCTTGCTAGTGTACAACCCCAAGCGCACATCACCTGTTCGATGAAAGGCGTTTTTTTTAAATAAAAAAAAAAAAAAAAAAAAAAAAAAAAAAATTTATTTTTTTTAAAAAAAAAAATAAAAAAAGCGCCTTCCCACCCAAAGAAACATCGTTTTGGTCCAGGCGCCTTAATTTTTTTTAAAAAAATCTGGCTTCAAAATGACGTCGTGTAGCGTGTGCAACAATACAAGTAGTGGTTTGGAGCAACCACTCCCCTAAAAAGGTTATGAGTTCAAGTTCTAGCATCCGTGTAGTGTATGTGAGTTTAATATGATATCGTCATTCTCAATACAAAAGGTCTCACACAAAAAAAAAAAAAAAAAAAAAAAAAAAAAGAAGAAGTCATTATCCAATTCTAATTTGGGATTAGATCGGAACTACCAAACAACTAAGAGAACAGATATAATATTATTGACTAAAAATATAATATGGAATTTCATTAGGACCAAAAACCAGAATTATAGCTTCTGCTTCTCCATTTTTATTTTGGTCGCAATTGAAGAATAAAGAAAGAGAGGAGGTAGACCTCATACAACAATTGTCCTAGCTCTACCGTATCTTTTGTTTTATTTCTTCTGGAACAATCACAAATACTAAAGAAGAGATCTTGGGGGAATTGCCGCATATGAAATTAAGCACAATTTTGCATAGCACACTTGTTTCTTGAGAAGAGATGGGAAACATGCTCAATTTCATTTGATTGAATGGTTGACCTAGCTCCTTCTTGTTTGAAGAAACCCTCCGGTTCAACTGGTATTTTTTCACGAAAATCAAACATGAGATAACAAATCCAGTCTTTGTTGGCCTCTATGGTAGAATCAGTCGGGGGCCTGAGAGGCGATAGTTTACCCTGCAGCGGATGTCAGCGGTTCGAGTCCGCTTATCTCCAATTCGCGAATTTAGCCTATACAAAGCTATATGATATCACCCAATTTTTCCCATTCAGCAGTTCGCACAGTTTTGAATGAGAGAAAGAAGTGATGAATCCTCTTTTCGACTCTGACTCTCCCACTCCAGTTGTTGCTTAAATGTTGGCTAAGTAAGCGTCTTGTAGTAAGAGGAAGTAAACTTATAGAAACATACATTGTAGAATTCGATATTCATCTAAAAAGAATTTGGGGACTTTTTTTTTTTTTTTTTGGGGTTTAAATACTCACTACCATTGGAGCTATAATTGTAGGCCGCCATTTTTCTCAAATTATGTAGGGGAAAAAATGAGGTAGAATATAATTGCAAAAAATTCTTCAAGGGATAATTCTATTTTTCTGTAAAATCAAATGATCAACAGTTGCTTTACATGCCCAATGTACAAACTAGAAAATAGCAAAACATTATTTTGAACGAAGTTGACCTTCGAGCCATTTAATGCCCAACCGATGAATGGACGATCACCTTATATAAACCCCATCAAATGAAGAGAAGGACCCTGACATCAAACACAAAAACTTACTTTTTGTCTTTCACTTTTCTATCCCTAGAATAGATTTTTATTTTCCAAGCAAGTAGACTAGATTAGTTCTTCGCTTTTGTTAGTGTAAGTTTAATTTCTTGCATTTTCCATTACGTTGTTTTAAGATTCAATTTTATTGCTTTACTTTTAATTGTTATCAAATTTTCTTTAAGTTTAATTTAATTTCAAATTGCTTTATTTTATTGCCCTTTATCGTTCATATCGTTCTTGTTTCATTCTTACTTAAATTTACATTTATTGTTGCTTCAATCTTATTTTTACATTTACTTTCTTATTATTTAGTTTAATCGTCTTTTAATTTAATTTGCATCATTCTCATTAATTCCCAAAAAATACTAAAATACCCATAAGAAAAACCTAATCATTCTCGACCCCGAGGAAGTGAAAGAACCTAAGACAAGAGGAAGTTCCTTGCTTGGATGATCAATCAGCTAGTTAGAAGTTAGAAGTGTGAACACAACTATCCAACTTTTTCAATTCAAGCCAATCAGTGGCTTGGTGGTGGCACGCCTACGCAATCAAAGAGAAAAAGGATCAAAAGTTCATTCTGTCGGCCACCTCGGCTGGAAAAAGGGAAACAGGAGATAAATGAACCCAAAAAGGGTGTTGATATGCTCTTTGCAAGCCGATCCAATGGCTCAAAATGCTCAGTACGGAAATACACTAGATTCTTTATGGGCGATAGTTGTTGATTAAAGAGAGATATGGGGGGAGGAAGAAAAAGAGAGGGAGGGTTCTGTAGTAAGGGAAGGCAACGGATGGGCAGTGACTCTTTCTTTTTCCTATGTTCTCAATTTTATTTTAAAGATAAAAATAAATTCAAAGTCCAGCTATCAAAAAAAACTTTAATTATTTTAAAAAAATAACACATGGCATATTTTAAAACGCGGTGATACAATATTATTCTATAATTTCTCTTGGTATATGACCTGTAGTTTAATTCTTTCTATTTCTTGTTCTTCTCTCTCTTCCTACTTTCTCACTGTTCCTTTATTATTCTTTGCTGTTTTCTGTGGGGTAAATATTTGATAGTTGAGTTAGATATTAAGATATGTGCTTTGCATGTGGTTTATTCAGAATGCAAGGATATTGATGATGGATTGTACTGCTCGGAAATTATGAAGTTGGATCCGTATCTGCAAATCTACTTTCCTACTTTTGTTTGGTGATATTTCGTCTATTGTTGTTTACTTTTACATTAACCCGCCTAACTAAACCATAAGAAAGTTGACTCGATCAAAAAACAAAACGGAGGAAAGTTGACAGAAATTATAAACAAATAAAAAAAAATCAATTAATGGAGACATATAATATTTAACACTTCTAATCCTGCCTTGAATAGATAAAGGGATAATTATGGGTATTTCTAAAAAGTATATATCCTAATTTGATTAGGTAATTAGTTTACTTGCATCTTAATCATCGGGTTTTACATATAAAAATTGGATCTGGAACAGCATTGATATGTTAATATATGGGCTGGTTTTGACGATGCAAGTGAAGTGTGGGGAATTGTCCAAGTGGCTTTGGGAGTTGTAATTAGTTTATTAGTTTATTTTCTTTTCTTTTTAATAAGAACTTGTAGTCCAAGTTTGGGTAGGAATAGAATTCCTTTCTTTTTTGGGAGCTTGCTAGCCGTGAGTTACATAAGTAGGCTTACTCCTTATTTTGCAAAATACACAAAAAAATCAAGAAGTTGGAGGAGAGGAAGCTTAAGACAAAGCAAGGAAGAGAAATTAGGTGTTCTTCTAAACTTATGGTATTTTTCATTGTGATTTTAATCATGAATACTTAATTTTCCTAGTTAATATTAATTTCAAGCTTTTTCCTTTTTATTGAGTGTCTTTTGATGTGCTTATTAATGTTTAATTTGGTTTGAATGCTTGATTACCATCTAAATTAAATTAGTGTGATGCAAGTTAGAGTAGATGTCATGCTTAACTTGAATTTTGCTTCTTGCAATTGATACCATGAATGACTTAATTGTAGACGCTATGCATATTTATGGTTTGTGTGATCGTTACATAATTTTCATAGAGCTTAATTGGTCTTTATATGTTGAATTCATGTAGATGCCATAGAGGATTGCATGTAAAGGATTGCATGTAAAGATACTTTTGATGTAACTAGATGACATGACCATTGAATAGTTTAGGGAAATTGATCATCAATAAGGGGAATTACTTGACATTGGTACGCTAAGGAATTGGGTAGGATTGGTTACGGTGAAATCGAATGCTCTAGTATTTCTCTCTCTTGATTTTCTTTATTCTCATGTGCCGTGCATTTTTTTTTGTCTTGAATTTTAATTGATTTCTTTAATTTTCAATTACTATTCAAATCAATAAAACATAAGCAATTGTCTTCCCTTTTGTTTTGGGGACTTTTAGCAAGAAGCCCCAGACAACAATTCCTTCTAGCATTAAATTCATATTTTTACTCAAAAAAATTTAGGGGTTTCTTATGTTCTACATTCTATTTCATAGAGTGCAGGCTTAACGGTTCAGGCAGAGGCTTAATTATTTACGTTTCTTATCGCATTTTCGTGCTGTTCATCGAGGTCCTTCATTTTCTGCACTTCGCTCCACCAGTGTGCTGAAATTGCTACCTGGGTATGTATTTGTTTGCAAGGTCATTCAGAATATTCCATGATGATCTCATAGTTAAAACTTGGATTACATCATTTGTTCTTTTTCCTTTATTTACAGAGCCATGAATCTTGTTGAACCATATGACTTCGAATTTTGATGCTAGTGTAATAACTTTTTTAGGGTAATAATTTATGTGTTATTTTGTTCTCAGATCGACCAAATAGAAAGATAATGGATTTCCAGCAAAAAAAGAAAAGAAAGATAATGGATCCCCACAATGAGAAAGACACTGACCAAGTATCCTCAACATTCTCCAACATGCCGACTGATATAATTGCAAATATCCTTGGGCGGTTACCACTAGAGCCACTGGTAAAGTCGCGGTTGGTATGTCGGGAATGGCAGTGGGTAAGTTCACGGAAGGATTTCATTGAAGATTATGATAAAAGGTTAAACCTTGGTGGTCCTCCTACCTTCCACTGTCTTGTCACTGCTAGCACAAAATACATTCGGGACGTAGGGTGCTATTCCGTGTTGTTGGATCCAGAACGTTCTAGGGGGGACTCCATAACTGACGCACTTGTTTCTAGTTTTTATCATATTCCAGAAAGAGGTTTTCTATTTAAACCCCACACTTCTCTTAGTTCACCCTATGTTCTAAGTTCACCCCAACTTTTAATTTAAATTTTCACAATTTCTAAGTAAACCCCACTATCTTCCCAAACTACCCTTAAATACACCCCAAACTAAAAAAATAAGAAATAAAAGAGATTTTCTATTTTTAAAACCCCTTCAAGTTTCAAACTGATATAAATTGTTGTTGCTTCCTATTATTCCTTGAGTTTTGCAGTGCATTGATTCCAACCTCTGAAGTGGTTGTCAATGAACAAGTAGAAAAGGAAGAGGAAAAGGGGGTCGAAGAGTGGTCGTCAATCAACAGTCATCAGGAAGATTGAAAATTCAAGAGTTGGTGCTAGTTCTTCCAAGACATCAAAAGACAGCATGACTCCTCTAAGAACTCCAACTACGGTGTGCCTCCCAATTTCTTTGAATTTTTTCTAAAAGCATCTCCAAAGATTTGCAGTTTTTCCAACAGTGCTTACTGCTAAAGAGTTTATCTTTGGAACTGTAGGTATCTAAGAATGAGGTGCACAAGCGTTGTACAAAAATTCAAGTTACCCCATACTTTCTAGAGAAAGAGAACAGTTTTACCAAAACATCAGGTATAAATTTAAATAAAAAATCAAAACAATCAAGCAATCAATAGCCAAGAGTACCCCAAAAAAAAAAGCAATCAACGAAGGGAAGAGAATAAGATCATTATAGCGAAACAATCAACAAGTCTTTCCATCAACTTCCGCGCAGATTTCAAAAAGGTAGGCTCGTCAATGTTCTACGTCTTTAAAAGAGAAAATTAATCTGGCATAGGATCTAGAAGAGTTTGTATTTTTTTAAAACTTAATTTGAAGAGTTGTGGGGTGTGTGGGGTGTGTATAGATATATTAGGGTTAAGTATTAAGTTGGATAACTTTTTTTGTCTTTTTACACAATAATAAAATTTACAGCTTAATGATTTAAGTATTGGGGTGAACTAAGAGAAGTGTGGGGTTTAAATAGAAAAAATCTTCCAGAAAATTCAACATTCGAGTCAACTCGCCCTAAAACTGCCGCCCTTGTTTCTAGGTTTTACCATCAAATTCCAGAAGATTCAAAATTCAAGTCAGATGTTGGTTCCCAAGCAATCGACAGGTTGGTTTGCATTTACTGTACCACCCCTAAATTTTATTATGTGTATGTTGTAAATCCTTTGACCATGGAACAAATTGCTATTCCACCCGGGCCGCCACAGCACTTCAAACAAGGAAATATCATTAAACCGATTAAAAGTGACATTAATTTCAACTTCGGGTATGACCCTGTTGGTGAGGAGTACAAGGTCCTCCAAATGCAATTACTCAGGGAATTAAAATGTCCCCAAAGTGTTAAGTTTGGAAGATTGGAATGTGAAGTTTTAAATTTTAAGTTGCTGATCTATACTTTAGGAACAGAAAACTGGCGACAAATACACCTGGCTATTCCTGAAAGTGTCGATGACGAGATTCACCTCTGTAGTTTTCTTGAGAATAAACCTTTATGCCTCAATGGCAAGTTATATTGGCCAAGCTATGAGTATCGCACAAGTTGCATTCTGGTGTTCAAGGTTAGAAGTGAGATGTTCACTACGATCCCGCTTCCCGAGTTGCATGGCCCATGTGACAACAAATGGGATTTCTATCCTTTTGACTTGCAAATTAATTGAGATGGATGGATGCCTTGGTCTACTAGGTGAGTTGCGTGAACGTCGTGAAATGATAGGGTTGTGGATTCTGAGGAATAATGCTACCAAATGGGCGTTTAGTTTTCTAGACATGTTGAAGAGTTTATATTTGCATCATTATGTGAATAGTCCTGAGGCCTACTGGGTACACCCCATAAGAATAAGCATGGAGGGTGTGTTTGGGGGTGTTGAATCCTTTTCTGATTTGTTTGACAATGCAGTCAAAGTGTTGCAACTTAAGAGGTGCTAATCTCAATAAGCTAATTTCCTTAAAAGAAGAGTCATCAGAAATGGGAGGGTGAGTAATTTTTATTTCTCTTTTGCTTATCATGTCATCATATGCCCTGTATTTGCTAGCTGCCTATCCTTTTTCATTTTAGTTTTTCCTATTTATTTTCTGAATTTTCTTTTATTTTAATTTTTGTTAAACTATTATAGGTACTTCATTGTAAATGGGATTGAGAGAGTTTCTCGTCTCCATATAATACCAAAGCAGAACTATGTGCAAGGCAACAAATTTGATGGATTTTGATGCATAAAAAATTGTTTTGGGGGAAGCATAATGACTAGCTCAACTTGATTTTCTTCTTGTCTTCCAGCCAATGAGTTTGGTGAAAAAAATCATTTCATGATTAAGGAATAGGATTTACTGATAAAGCAATTGAAATAAAGTTTGGTTTTTTATCCCACTCATAACAAGTCATTATAACAAATATGTAATCAAACTTACATTGTGATCATAACCCGTTGCGTGTAAATGGGATGAAAATTATTATTCAGCTTCATTGTGAATAGATTTATTGTTTGTTACAAAGATTTTGATTCTCCTTTTAGGGCCATTCTAGGTGTGTAAAAGAAGATCATTCTGCAGTAACAGTCAAATTGTACTACCTTAAGAGTGGAACGCAAAACTTGGATTTCGGTAATTGATCTAGGTTTGATACTATGAAAGAATTTGGGTTTGTTATTTTGATATGCATCTAAAACATTTATATTTCAATTTTGCAGGATACAAAGGAAAAAGTGCTTTCTTGATGTGGGTGTTGTCTTACAGGTGATCAGTTGCATATTTATTATGAATTTTTATTTGTATATCTTTATTTTCTATTGATTAGTCATATAGGATAAGCTTTATTGAATTAATTTATATAGTCATGCCCTACAAGGGAGAATTTTAGCAATGGTTGTCATTACATGTTGGTTTATCTGGAATTGGCGTAACAAGCAGATTTTTAATGTTGAAGTGGATATGTCTTTTAATCACAGGAAAACCATTTTTACTACAGTTGTTGAGTGGGCTAAAGTTGCTAATGGCTTTGGCATGAAACCTAACAGAATACATGTCTTTTTTTTTTGCTTGGGAACCTACAATTGGCCAACTTATTCTGAATGTGGATGGTTCTAGAAGGGTTGCCACTAATATTATTTGAGCATGAGGTGTATTTGGGACTCCTCAGGTGACTGGATTGCCGGTTTTTCCTTGAATTTGGGCCAAGGTCATCTCCTGGTGGATGAGGTTTGGGGTCTATATTTTGGTCTAAAGCTTACTGTTGAGAAAGGTATCACTAACCTTGCTATTTAAATAGATGTCGTTGTTGTTGTTGTTGTTGTTGTCTCACTTGTTCAGCAAATCAATTCATTGCAATGCCATCATCTTGCTGCTTTGGTGCATAGTTGTTGTGATCTCATGAGACAAACTGGAAATTGTCACCTTGTCCCCATTTACTAGGAAAAGAATTGTGTTGCAGATTGTTTGGCAAATTGGAGTTATAATCTGGACCAGGGAATTTGCTTATTTGATGGGGTTCTTGTCTGGGTTAGCTTTCTGTTGGTGGATGACTTGCTTGGTCTTACTAGGCCTTGACTCATTTGAGGTGTTTAATTGTTGTTTTCTAGGGGTGTCCCCCTTATTTCATCAAAAAAACAAACAACGAAAGTTTGTACTTCAATGGTTCAAGGGTTTGCTTACAGTAAGGAGGTAAGAGGTTCGAACCCCCTTTGGAGCATAAATCCTATCCTACTTTCTTTATACTTCCATTAATTAATAATGATTATTATATGTGCAAAGTTTTCTTCATTGGTTATATTCTTGAGCTTTTATTTTGGTTAGTTTGAATACATTTTGTATGCTTTAACTAAATATTAAAGATGGTTGTTTCTTGGTTAATTAGTTGAGTTTTTGTGTTGATTTTTGTTCTTGTGTTAATTTTCTTAGTTGTTTTCATTAAGTAATTATTGGGGTTTTTACATAATTTTCTTTCTCAATACACTACATTAATGGTTGATTGTAGGGTGATAAGTTTAATATTGCTTACTTTAGGTGTTCAATCTTTGTAGATTGGTTAATAATAATATGATGCATTGTAGAGTTATTTAAAAAATTTGTGAGCTTTTATACTTTGACCCCAAAGAGAAAATTTCTGGATCCGCCACTGGTTGAGTGCGGTGGTGTTCTCAGGTGGTCAAGATCCTGTCGTTTAACGACGATCGGAGCCTCTGAAGTTGTACCGTTGGATCAAAGATGATCGGAACGTTGGATCCTCTCCAATTTTATATATATTGTAGCTGGTGTTGAGAGGAGTTTGTAGGTTCAGCCTGGTCTTAAGTTATTGTGTTTTGAAGTTAAGCGAGTGATCATCGTTCGATTGTGCGTGATCGTGCGATCTAGAATGATCTGACCGTTGATTCGGGCCCAAATTGATGCAGGGTGATGTTGGGACTATTTAGAGTCCATTGGTGCAATAGGATGCGAAATTTGAGGCCGTGGGCCCGAGACAGATTTTTAGAATGTTGGTTGGACATGCAAGTCCCATAGGACCTAATTAGTGACTTTTGGACAATGGGTGTCATTGGTCATGTTTTGACGTCGACAATGCGTACATCATAGTTTTGAAGTTGTTTGGACAAGATTTGATCACTTTGGACCCCTGATTGGTCCAAAGGGCATTTTCATCATTTGGGCTTGAAATATTATATTTTGGAGTTTTGTGCTAAGTTGAGTTACGAACTTCTCTTATCACTACAAGGAGAAACCTCTTTTGCGACGAAATGTTTAGCGACGCACAATATTTTCGTCGCCAAAAAGAGAATCGGCGACAAAATTTGTCCAGTTGGTCGCCAAAAGATTTGTGATTTTCAGACATCCGTGATGACTTAAGTCAACTAAATAGCGACTAATTTATCAACTAAGGGTGACGAAAGTTTTTGGTGGTTATGTGAGGACTTGGCGACCAAACATATATTTGGTCGCGATTTACCAAATTGAGTGCGCGCGAAACTTCAAAAGTTTTGACGACGAAAATATTGGGTCGCTAAGTTTTAATGTGTTGTCGGTAAGTTAGAATTGGCGCGTAAAAATTTCGTGGGCCCAGCGACCATTTGGTTTTCGTCTCAGATCATTGTGCTTTAAAAATGTAAATCATAAAACGACGTAGTTTTATGTATATTAGCATATGGGCAACCAAATAGTTTTTGGGGCTAATCTGGAGAGTTTAAATACAAAAATATAAAATAAAAAGTTCCCAACTCGTTATTTCCTCTCAGACCCACTCTCCACTGCTTTCACATTGGCAAAACAATCCTCCACCGACGTTGGCAGAGCAATCCTCCACCAACGTCAGCAAGCGATACTCCATCTCGCACGCCTTTCCCTACCACGGTCAGGAATCGACGGCCATCTGAAAACTCCATCTCCGAAGTCCTCCTCACTACGTGTTTCAACGGAAAGCTTCTGGTGAGTCTACCTTGTTCGCTTACCTTCATTTTCTTTTGAGCGCTGATTTTCAGTTGTGGATTCCATTTTGTTGCTGAGAAAATAATCAAGGAAAATCGTAAATAGATACCCAGGAATTGAAATCGAAACTGAATTTTAGTGCTTGATTTTTCCTTTTTGATATCTTAAATGCTTGAACATTCAACAGTCCAAGTTTTCTGAATAAAATGACTTTTCTTTTTCAAGTAGTTATTGTGGGTTCTATGTCAAATTCGAGTAGGGTTCTGTGTCTGATATGAATGCCCTGTTTTGCATTTGATGTGGGTTCTGTGTCAAATTTGAGATGTTTCACTTGCACACATACCCAGTAGTTATTTCATTTTTTTATGTTTTAATGCTTTGAGTCTGATTGATTGTTTTCTAAGTCTTGAATGTTTGCTTGATACTTCTGGATTAATTCTGAATTTCTTTACTATCTATTGGAAGAAAGAATATAACAATTCATTTATATAATTGAAGTGAAAAGTTAGAAGTTGGAAGTTGGTCATGTGGGTGTGTATTCGTTTCAAGGTTCCTTTGCCTTTGTCTGTGAGCTTATGTTTTTTTATTTTTGTTCTAATTATTGATTTTTTTTGCCAATATGGCTTATTGAGTTCTCTTTATAGTTTAGGTATAAGCTAGCTGCAAAGTTGTCTCTGTATTTTATATATAAGCTAGCTGCAAGGTCATCGTCCCACAGATTAACTGGTCAGTTTAGGAATTATTTTTCTTTCCCTTAGTATTGGTGTCTGAGTGTAGTACCACTTAATTGGACAATGGAGTTTAACTGATGGAGTATCATCCTTCAATGTTGGTTTTGATTGTTTTGGAAATCCTTTTCAAGCTCTTTTTTTTTTTTTTTTTTTTTTTTTTTTTTTTTTTTTTTTTTTTAACCATTTTGGCTTTATGTGATGATCACTGGTAGCTTGAATATTATGCAAGGTCATTCAATTAGCTTCAAGGGTAAATTTTGTTAATTTGAAATGGTTTTTATAATCATTTATAAGGCATAATAATTAAGAACTGTAAAGAATAATAATTTGTTATGAAATTGAGATGAAGAGCCTAATTACTAATTTCAGATAATTCATATACTACATGAGAGACGTGTGACCTTAAGCCTGACTTTATTCGCTGTACATGTTATAACTGTATAAAGTGGATGTGTTGATTACAATATTACTTTGAACCATTTGGTTTTATGTTGAGACTTTATCTTGGATATTTGGTGCTTCCTGTGATGTCTTATTATGTTACTGTTTTGAGTTAACTCAGAATATAATGTTTTTGTTTAATGATGAGTGGTTAAACTTAGAGGTGAAGGCATATACTATTTTGAGTTTGAAGACTAATTTGGACTCAAGCCCTCCAAAGATATAGTGTCTAACAGATTTATTTTTTTTCTTTTTCTTTTTTGCAGTAGGGTGTTTGAATTACTTGCTTAAGAGGTATGGATAGCTAAAAATCTGGCATCTGCCATTTTTTTTTTTTGTGACTTGTGTCATGGGTTTATTGTGTCTAACAGAATTTTTTTTTCTTTTTTCAATAGGTTGTTTGGAATACTTGCTTAAGAGGCTATATTTGCTTTAGAGGTATGAATAGCTACAAATCTTCTGCCTGCCTTCATTTTTTTTACTGGTTTCATGGGTTCAACTAAATTATGCAATATAATGTTGAAAGAATTGTAAAAAAATATTGTTACCATGATACTTACCCTTGAGAAGCATAATTAATGTGGAATCTCTCTACCCTTGAAAAGCATAATTAATGTGGAATATCTGTTTTTATAATTTTCATGTGAAAGAGTTATTAGCTTGTCATTCTGTGAAAGAGTTATTTGCTTATATCAATAACTGTGTTCGATCTAATCATGTTATGAAATTTTGGAACTGCTTTAAGTCATCACCGATTGAATTGGATAAGGCCCATTATAGGAGGTATAAGAAGACGGAGACAAGGTGTGTTAGAGATGAACAAGGATTGGATACACAATAAAAACAGGTTGAGTAATCAATATCGTGCTGGAATTCAATCATTTATGGAAGTTGCAAGCCAACATGTGGATAAGAAGAATGAGACTCCATGTCCGTGCATGAAGTGCCAGAATATGAATTGCCATTCTCTTCCGGTTGTGCAAGCACATTTATGGCAGTATGGGATGTCAGTGGTGTATCACACATGGATATACCATGGGGAACAATTCGAGATAACAAGACAAGCTTCACCTCCTGCAACTGCTCAAGAGGCACCTCGTCTTGATGATTATACGCATAATATTTTGAATGATGCATTCCCACCAGACTTGGGAGTTGTAGATGATACATTGGGGGACAATGAAGATGTGAGGGATGATACCGATATGCATAGGGTTGAGATGGATAAGTATGACAAGTTGATTGCTGAATCTCAGCAACAATTGTTTCCCGGTAGCAATGCATCAGTTTTGACAGCAATGGTACAATTCATGCATGCGAAGGTACTTCATCATTGGAGCAACAAGTCATTTGATCAAATGTTACAAATACTCAGTGCTATTTGTCCGCAGCCTCATAGCATTCCTCCATCATTCTATGCTGCTAATAAGATGTTGAAAGATTTGGGTTTGGGGCATGAAAAAATTGATGCATGTATTTACGATTGTGCTTTGTTTTACAAAGAGCATAAAAGTAAAGATAAATGTCCAGTGTGTGATAAGCCTAGGTATAAACCTAGTACTAGTAAAAAGAAAACAGTGGTGCCCCAAAAAGTGTTGCGATATATTCCTCTAAAGCCGAGATTACAGAGATTGTTTATGTCTGAACATACAGCAGGTCACATGCGTTGGCATAAGGATAAACGAGTTGATGATGAAGGTGTTATGAGGCATCCAGCAGATTCTATTGCTTGGAAGGAGTTTGATAAGATGTACCCTGAGTTTGCCGAAGAGCCACGAAATATCAAGTTAGGCCTTGCAACTGATGGGTTTAACCCATTCGGGAATATGAGCACATCTTATAGTATGTGGCCGGTGATGGTGGTTCCTTACAATCTACCTCCTTGGATGTGTATGAAACAACAGTATTCAATAATGACTTTGCTTATTCCAGGCCCAAAGGCACCAGGCAAGGAGCTGGATGTGTATTTGCGTCCTTTAATTGATGAGCTAAAAGAGTTGTGGGAAGAAGGTGTTCAAACTTATGATAAGTTTACTGATACAAGGTTTAACATGCGGGCAGCTGTAATATGGACAATCAATGACTTTCCCGCTTATGGGAATTTATCCGGTTGGAGTACAAAAGGTTACAAGGCATGTCCCGTATGTCTTGAGGATACAACATCTACCAAGCTGAGAAATAAAATTTGTTATATGGGGCACCGTCGCTACTTGAAAAAGAATCACCCTTGGCGTAAGGATTCTGAAAATTTTGATGGAACTATTGAGATGAGGGATCCCCCAAGAGAATTCTCTGGTGATGACTTATTACTTCAGTTTAATCACCTTGTGCATCGTAAGCTTGGTAAACATCCTGAAAATTTGGAGAGAAAGAGAAAGCGGACACCTATGGAGTTAAATTGGACAAATAAGAGTATTTTTTTCGAATTGGAGTATTGGTCCAAGTTGAAAATAAGACATAACTTGGACGTAATGCATATTGAAAAGAATATATGTGACAACATTGTTGGAACGTTGTTGAGCATAGAAGGAAAAACAAAAGACACACCCAATGCTCGTTTGGATTTGAAAGACATGAATATACGAAGGAATCTGCATTTAGATAAAGATGAAAATGGCAAGATAAAGAAGTATGCTGCAGAATATACATTAGAACCGGCTGATCGTCGAGCATTTTGTGAATTTTTGAAGTCTATAAAATTTCCGGATGGTTTATGCTGCTAATATATCACGAAATGTCAAAGATGGGAAGATCTCAGGTTTGAAGACTCATGATTGTCATGTTTTGTTACAACGAATTTTACCTATTGGAATTCGGCCGTACTTGATAAAAGAAGTGTGTGCGCCACTTGTAGAATTGGCATGTTTCTTCCAACAAATTTGTGCAAAGACGTTGCATGTTGCAGATTTGGATAGATTGGAGGTTGACATTGTGGTCATTTTATGCAAACTTGAGAAAATATTTCCACCTGCCTTTTTTGATGTCATGGTGCATTTGGCCCTTCATTTACCACGTGAGGCCAAACTTGGGGGACCTGTAGGATATCGTTGGATGTACCCGATAGAGAGGTAATACTCAGTCATCATCTTTTTATATTTATTTTGATTAGATTCTCTTTCATTTGTATTTAAAGATATTAATATACAATGATTAACAGGATGCTAGGGAAGTTAAAGGGCTATGTACGTAATAGAGCTAGACCCGAAGGTTCAATTGTTGAGGGATACATTGCAAATGAAGCGTTAACTTTTTGTTCAATGTATTTTCGTAATGTGGAGACTGTTTTCTCTCGTCCTGAACGAAATGATTATGGTGGCGAAGCCAATGCTAAGCTCTCGGTATTTTCTCAAAATGCACGACCCTTTAATGGCTATAAATTTCTTCAATTGTCTGAAGGAGAAATGGAACCAATTTATTGGTATATCTTGGACAATTGTGAGGAAATTGAACCATTTAGAAAGTATGTAAGTGTAATTAATTCTATTTTTATCACTCTGTTTTCTTATTGCTTTGATTTAACTTTCTATTTATTTTTTCAGTGAGCATCGTCAATATTAGAGCGTGAAAGCCTATTTAACATAGAACAGAGACATAGGCAGTCGTTTCCCCAATGGTTCAAGCATCATGTCAAAGCATTGTATAGTGAGGAATCAACATTGGTGACTAAAGAAGTGTGTGCATTATCATATGGTCCTGATGAAAGAGTTTGTACGTATACAGGATGTGTTGTGAACGGAATTCGATGGCATGTCCAAGATATAGAAGAAACTCGTACAACTCAAAATAGTGGGGTCATGGTACCAGGAACTCATGCTGATCAAGAAAGTAATTTTTATGGTAGATTAGTTAGTGTTGTTAAAATAGGATTCACATATGGCTATCATGTTATCCTTTTTAAGTGTGAGTGGTACAATACAAGTACAGATGTGAAGCGAAAGAAAAAGATTGTTAGGCTTGTTCATGATTACCATCTCACGTCAGTGAACTCAATGAATTTATGGTACAAAGATGATCCTTATGTGCTAGCAAAACAAGCACAGCAGATCTTTTTCCTTGATGACCCATCCTTGGGTCATGGTTAGAAGGTAATTCAAAAAATTCCACATAGACATGTGTGGGATGTTCCTGAGAATGAGGTGGCTCACGAGGCAGAAACACTCTACGACGATGGTGTGGACCAAACTGCACATATTAGTGTTAGACATGCACCAGAAGATAATGATCTACTCAGTCCATCACTTCGTAGAGAGTATGTTGAACCTGAAATAGTTGTCGAAGATATTAATTTTGAACATGTCTCAAATGATATGGAGGATGAAGATTTTATTGATGATGATGATATTGAAGAAATACCTTCGGGTGATGATGAAGGCAGTGTTCACAGTGACGATTATAGTGATTTGGATTGAAGTGTTAGGCTGTCTTTTGTTTAGGCACTATATGTTTCTTAATTACCTTCAAGTTACTATATGTTTTCCTTAATCTGTTTTAAGGGGTAAGGTCTGTAAGGTCTGTATATTGAAGAAATATCTTTGGATAAGGTTTGCATGTGTTAGGCTGTCTTTTGTTTAGGAACTATATGTTTCTTAATTATCTTGAAGTTACTATATGTTTTTCTTAATTTGTTTTAAGGGGTAAGGTCTGTAAGGTCTGTATATTGAAGAAATATCTTTGGATAAGGTTTGCATGTGTCCTCCCCATGTAAATGAAATGCATGTGCGTGTTATTTTTCTTTCCTATTAATAAAGTATTATGTTCAATTATTTTTAGATGAATAATTCCTTTATCTCAAGCACGTTTGTGACGAGAATCAATGTCATTATAGCTAAAGTATGATATTCAATCATTTATGTTTATTTTTTCAAGGAATGATCTGGTAGTATATTGTTGTATTCTCTCTTTGTTTATGTGTTTGTAAGTGTAGAATGACACTTACGAGGGCTGCTACCTTAAGCAACAATAACAATAAGAAGAAAACTTCAACTCTACTACCACCACAGCCACTTGAGCAACCATGTCAGCTGCCACAACAGCAATCAACTCAGCCACAACAAGGTACTTCATCAGCCTCAGGAGGGGGTTCCCACCAACAGGGTAACTGATACCATATTTTGTGCCTTTAATTTTTATACCTTTATTTGGTGCACTCTAGTTACTGTTTTTTTGAATTTTTGTCTCTAGATGAGGGAACGCATACTCAAACTTCTTCACAGAGGAAGAACACTCGTGGCCGAACTGTGGGGGCTGGCACTTGTGATGTTGTGAAAAAAGGAAGAGTTTGATTCCAATACGGATGGATCCATCCCAGAAATTGGTGGCGACTATTGAGGCTCAAAAACTGTTTGTCTCTGAGATTGGGTTAATCACTCGCAATAAAGCTCCATTGAATGTTTTAGGGATGAAAAAAGTGAGCTTGGAGATGAAGAAAGATATGGCACTAGGATTGCAGGTAATCTTATCTAATTCTTCGTTGATTATAATTTAATTTTGTTCATTTAACTCTCTTTTTATTTCAATTCTTCATTGTATTCTAGGGGGAACTGAAAATTTTGTCCTTCAATGTTTCTATTTGCATTGAAAAATTATAACTAATACTTGTTTTGTTTATGGTTAATTGATATTAGTTCATGTTTGATGTGGACTTAACGGATCCGGATATATGGAAATTTATTAATGACCATATGCACTCAACTTATAAAGAATGGAAAGCAAAGCTCCACAGACACTATAAGCAATATGCTTCTGACCCTGCTCTTGCACGAGAAACACCTCCCCCTGAAAAGATCTTTGGTACTCGAAGGACTCTAGAAGAGTGGCATTATTTGGTTGATACGTTGTACACAAATGAGCAATATCAGGTATCTAATGTATCATAACATTTGCTGTTTTCATTTTTTTGATTGGGAACTTATTCTAAGTATCAAATAGAAAAAAAAAATAACAATTCATGTATTTAATAAAACAAAACGCTGCAAGACCAATGCTGAGAACAGAAAAAAGAAAGAGTTTGATCATACAGGAGGGGTCACGTCCTTTCCTAAAACATATGGAAGCTGCTAGAGAGGTTTATAATTTTTGGTCACTTTAAATCTTTATTTATTTATTATATTGTAATAATTTCAAGTATTTCTAATTTTCTTTTGTTGGGAAAATGTAGAAGGGTGAAAATCCTACATACATTAGCAATTGGAACAACATGCATATGCTTAAGGGTAAGAGCATGTGGATCAATGAGGCTGCTGAAATTAAAGGGGTAAGGAATACATAAACCTGCTGACAATTAACTATTGACTTGCATAATCTGCAATCCAAAAGATCAGTCGACTGGTCATGCAAGTTTTTGACGGCCCATTATTTTAGATGCTAATTGTGTACTTTGGTTTTAGCATCATATAAAGGCTTTATCCATTGCAATAGAACTAATTAATTAGAAACACAATGAAGATGTGTGTCTGAGTTTTCTAAATTTTCCAGATCTTATATATTGACGACCAAAAAAAGTGCATGCTAAGATCGTTTTGAAACAGAGCTGCTGCAGTTGTACTTCTCTTCCTCTTTGGAGGCCCAATTCCAAACACCTATTTAACATATTCAGTTCTAATAACCCATTGTGCTCTTAGAAGTTAAAATGTAGACCCAATTATAAGGGGCCCATGTTGCTGGGGCAAATATTTATAATCCCTGTTTTTGGAATTTTCTTGTTTGTATTGTTGTTGCTTTCAGGAGATGCTCAAAAAGATCTTATAAGATCTGTGAGTATTTTCTAACTTTCTGCAATCTGCATATCCGAAGAGATTCTTTATTCCATTTTTTATGTTGCCTTTTTTTTTTTATTATTTGCTTTATTTTTTTTTTTATTTTTTTATTGTGATTGTTTGATTAAGGATAATTGGCATTGCTAGTTTATGAACACAATTGGTCGTACTGGCATCCCATTTACTTCATTCTTTTTATGCATTTATATATATTGACATATCTATGTTTTGCTTCTTTTTGTAGAAGAAGATGAATGAAGAGTATGAGAAAGCCAAGCAACAAGTGGCTGAGAGTTCAGGAACTCCACTAGATCAAGTCTCACTCCCTATCCCACAACAGTTAGAGATCATGACTGGAGAACTTGGGGTTGCAAAGGGCAAGAGGATTCGAGGCTTGGGTTCTAGTCTCCGAGTGGAGAGCTTGCATAGTTGTGGATTTGCCTCTTCTTGTGCTACAGAGCAAAAGGTTGAGGAACTTCAAAGCACAGTTGGTGAGTTGAAAGGCACAGTAAGTGAGCTTCAGGGCACAGTGGGTAAACTTTTGGATGTCATTGAGTGGATGCGAACCCATGATGGTCCTCTACCCTCACATTTATTTGTTCCATCCCAGCATGTTGGTGATTCTCCTTGTCATGATGATCAAGGTAATAGTGGTGGTTCACGTAATGTTTATGAAGATCTTGATGATATTGGAAATAGTCATTAGGTTGTGTGTACATCTACATACTTGATGGTTTTTGTATCTAGCCTACCTTGGGGGTTCTATGTTCTATGGGGCCTCTGTATCTAGCTACTTAATGGTTTTTGTATCTAGCCTACCTTGGGGGTTCTATGGGGCTTCTGTATCTAGCTACTTGATGGTTTTTGTATCTAGCATATATACCTTGGGGGCTTTTGTATCTAGAATACACTAATGTGTACTTAAACAACTAGTATCTTTTTGAATAGTAATTATCCTATTTCTATTAATTTCATCTATTTACTGTTTTTCAAAAACTTTATGGACTAAATAATATTCTGTTACAAAGATTGAAATATAAATAATTATTTAAAATAAATAAATACACATCTTGGCGACGAATTAGTTTTCGTCGCTCCATCAGATAATACCAATATCTATAGTTTTGGCGACGAATTTGTTTCGTCGCCCATTATGAAAATAACCAAACCAACTACCATATGCTACAAATAAACTACATCTTTCACGACCAAAAAATTCGTCGCTGAAATATTCAAGCGACCAAACATTTATTTTGTCGCCAAATAATTCCCATGTTCGCGGGCATTTTTGGTATTTTGGCGGCAACTCCCTCTCTATAGGCGACCAACTTAGAGCTGTTTAGCGACAACCCATTTGGTCGCCAAAATCTTTTAGCGACGAAATGGTATTTCGTCGCATTGTATCTTTTAGCCACGAGCTTTCCACGACGACCTTGGCGACCAAAAATATTCGTCGCTATTTGTATTTGGCGACGAAATTTGGTGTTATAGCTACCATTCTGTTTCGTCGCTAAAAGGGATTTTCCTTGTAGTGTAGGTATTGTTGGATCTGAGTGGCTTGTTGAGGATTCGTTGAGTTTACAAAGATTTGCAAGTTGGACGAGAGGTGAGTAAATCTATTTGGTTTGTGATTGTGACTTAAAACACATTTGTGATATTTACTACTATGTGGCTTTATGATTGTGGTTATGTGCATTGATGTTCATAGTTGAAATTATTTGTGAGTGGTCATGTATATTTGATTGGGATGTTGTGATGGCATGGTGGTGTTCATAAGTGAATGACCACGTACATATTTACAAGTAAATATAATTTTATATATTGTTGGGATGAGGTAAGTGTCTACATTTGTGAGAGAGGGCCGTAGAGCTTGTAGGGATAGTAGAGTACGCATTGTGCCCTACAGCTGTATCATTGTTTGTACATGTTTGAGTTCACATTGTGTCTGAGGCTGTATTAGTGTTTGTAAGTTTGAGTATGCATTATGCCCCAGGCTATATCATGTTTGTACATGTTTGAGTTCACATTGTTCCTCGAGGTTGTATCAGTGTTTATAAGTTTAGGAGTTCATATTATGCCCCGAGGCTGTATTAGTGTGAATAAGTTTAAGATTATGCATTGTGCCTTGAGGCTGGATTAGTGTTTGTAGGTGGGAAAGTCTAGAGTATTCTCACTTATGTTGTCCAAAAGTGACATTTATGGTTGTGTTTCTAATGGATTTGAACAGGTTTTGAGTCAGCTAATGTCCCAAACAGTTCTTTTAAAAGGAAAGAATTGTGATTGTGATGTTACGATTGATTATGTTTACCTTGATTATACAAGGATTGTGTGATGCTAATGAAAGTGCATGTTGATGTATATTATGTGGATATGACATAGATATATTGTTGTTGTAGTTTACTCACACGAGCTTTAAAAGGCTTACCGGGTTTGTTCTTTGGTGAATTCGGTACACTATTTGACGTTGTAGGGGCTAATCCTGTTAGGAATAGAAACCCATGATTTTGTAAGGAATAGGAAGCAGGAGGTGTACTTGCAATGTACAAAGTATGGTTTGATAATGTTTGTGAGTTTAGACTTCAGCTGTGTATAATAAGCTTTGAGGAGCGGAATATGTAATATCAACAAGACGCAATGTAGAATCATAGCTACAAGAAAAACAGTGTTTAGTGACAACTAAAAAGTGTCAGGAAACATAATACTTAACTGCTAAGGAGTCGTTAAGAGTGTCGGTATCAATAAAGGGTACCCTCTTCCTTGACACTTTTTCCATGTCACGTTTCACAACTTATAGTCAATTCTTCTTTAATTCTCCCAACAAGAATGTGAAAGTAAGATGATTAACCTTAATTAATATGAACAATTAGTTATTCCACCTAGAACAGAATTAGTCCCCACTCAAGTAACTTTAATTAATACGAGAAAAGAAGAATTACATTCAGTACAAAATTAAGGAAAAATTGAAGTATAACCAAAGAAGTCATACCTGCTGTAAATCCAGACCTGGTCGACTATCAAGTCTTCTAGTTTTCAACATAGTTTCTATTGATAAACTGATGTTCTTTGCAACATTTTTATTCATAACCTTGTTTACAATAGCTACTGCATTATCAGGACAGAAATGTCAATTCAAGAGAGAAAGGGAATGCGAAATATTGATGTATAGAAAATTTTGGCAAAATAAAAACTTGAGTAGTGTGAGTTTGTGTAACACAAACTACTAAAAGAAAGACAGGCAACAACAATAATTAAAGAATAATTGGATTTAAAGAAATGAAAAAACACACTAGTTGTATTTTCAAGGCATCTGGGTTGTCTTTCCTAGATTTCTCACGAACAAGTGAAAAAATTTTATGCATCATAAATATAAAGACACACTAAATGTAAGAAATGATGTACAAAACTACCACACAAGAAATATATCTTTTGTGAAAAAGAGAGGAAATTGGGAAGCACCAAACAAAGCTAACATAAGAAGTAGGAATTTGTGAATATTGTCATTAAGGTGAACGAATATGTTGTCCGTTAAAACAACATTTCCAACCTAGAAATGAAAACAATTGCCAAATATAAGTAGTCCGTTAATGCAACATTTCAAACATAATTTCCTAACTCCTTTTAAAGACCAAAACATTGCCCAACATCACTTACAGCAGCCTCCTTATCGTGGCACATGGGGGACCAAACTGAGTGCTCCTTGTGTTTGGGGAGTGAGGTAAACCTGTAAAAGTACATGTTTGGGTGGTGCCTTCTAGTCAACTAGGACATAATGAATTGGCTAGGCCATATTGGTCGGGTAGGACATATAGCTTGGGCATGACATTTTGGCAAGTCATGTTGACTAACTAGGCTATATTGAAACAAGTAGAATACTTCGGGTTGGACATTTTGGCAAGGCCGTATTGGATAGGCCATATTTCAGGTATATGCAAGGGCATTTGGTGCCAACCAGGTACATACTATAACAAGCCCCCAAGTTCTTAGTTGAGAACGAGTTCTCGACTAGGAACTTTCAAGTCAATCATGTTGGCCGAGCCGAACAACTTGTTGTGAATCATGAGCCCTTAATACAAATGGTTAGCAGTCATGACGAGCCGGGTGCTTATAGCTGGAAGGAGGGGTCATGCATGCCTTTGTTTAATAGGCAAGTGGCAGGCATGGGGGACATTCCTAAGAGATGATCAACTAAGTGCCTTTAATACCAGCTTGGGTAGGTCAACTCAACTTGGTGCCAATCTGGTGCCTCTAAAACCTGCTTGGCTAGGTTAGGTTAGCTAGTGACAATCAGGTACTTCAGCTGGAATAGGTAGGTGAGGTCACTTGGTCCTGACCAGGTACAATAGCTCAGCTAGGCAGGTGAGGCCACTTGGAACCGACCAAGTACCTACACTAACAAAACCCATAAGTTCTTAGTTGAGAACGAATTCTTGACTGAACTACAAGGCAAGCATGTTGGCTGAGCCGATGAGCTTGTTATAAGTAATGAGCTTTAGCTACAAATGGTTGGAGGTCAGACAAGCTATACACCCTTTCAATGGTGAGTTGAGTCATGAAAAGCTGAGCCTCAGTAAGTCTCAGTGGCAAACTAAGTCGTGGCAAGCTGAGTTATGTTGGTCTTGGTTAGTAAGCTCGTATAGGCCTTGTGGTGAGCTAAATCATGGAGAGTCGAGCCTTCGTAGGTCTCAGTGGCAAGGAGAGCATTAATGAAGTTCATACATACGATATCCTATTATAACATGATGAAGATGTATGTAATGATGACATGATAATGATGTATGTGATGATGACATGATAAGGATGTATGTGATGATGAAATGATGAAGATGTATGTAATGTGACACACTACCTGCTAATTTATCAGAAATATACCTTTTTCTGTCTCACTATAACCATGGTGGGACTTCGTCGTCTCTCTTTAACCATGGTTGGACAGGTTGGAATGGTAGTGAACCCGACATACATGGTGTCACCCGAGCCTCCAAGTTCTTAGTTGAGAACTAGTTATCGACTGGGAACTTTAAGTAATTGTTGGCGGAGGTGATCAACTAGTATCTTGGAAGGGAGAGTTTTTGTTAATCAACCACGGAAAGTGATTGGGTCCACATGCAACATGGACTTGGCTAAGCAAATTGCTCATGTAGGCATGTGATGCGGAGTTGAGCATGAAGGCGAATGAGCTACCTATGCATAATGCTCGAAGAACTACTTGTGCCAGGTAGACATAGAGCTACTCGTGTCGAGTAGGACATATTGATTTGGGTAGGACCATTTAGATCAGATAGGACCTGTTGACTTAGGTAGAACATTTTGGATAATAAGCACCTTTAGAATTGGGTAGAGAACCTTTTGGATCATGTAGTATCTTTTGGATCAGGTAGCATCTTTTAGATTGGTTATGACCTTTTAGATCGGCTAGGACCTTTTGGATCAGATCGACTCGGACGTATACCCACTCTCTATTCAAGGATCACACTAGGTGGGGAGTTGCATCAGTCTTCATACTGAGCTGATTCGTGTTTGACTCATTCGTACCTTGCCTATGCAAGTAGTAGTAGGAGTCCCACAACTTGGAGGTTGACTATACAAGTGGTCGAGTCGGTAATCTGAGGTGGCGATGGTGAGGCCAAGTCGAGCTGAGCATACAAGTGAAGATGGTGGAGTCAAACCATGGTGGGACAAGGTGGAGAACAAGCATGCAAAGTGCTTGGGTCGGTCATGGGGAATGTCCTACCCGGAGATAGGATCCGACCTAGAGGTAGGTCGATCTATCAAGGTGGAGTGCAAGTATGCAAAGTGCTCAGATCGATCTTGGAGGAATTCCGACTCGAAGGTAAGATCCGACCTAGAGGTAAGTCAATCTATCAAGGCAGAGAGTTAGCATGCATAGTGCTCGGGTTCGACATAGAGGTTGACCATATACTAGTGGTTGACTACAACATGAAGGTAATGCATGCAAGGTGATCATCTAGCTCATCCTTTCGAGTAATATATCACACATGCAAGGTGGTAAGGTCGGTTAGGCGTGCAATGTGGTCAACTTGATCAAGCATGCAAAATGGTCAGCTCGGTTACGTGTGCAATGTGGTTAGTTCCGTCACACATGCAAGGTGGTCAAGTCGATTATGCGTGCAATGTGGTCAGCTCAGTCACGTATGCAAGATGATCAACTCGTTTACACATGCAATGTGGCCAGCTCAATCACGCATGCAAGGTGGCCATCTGGCTCATCTTTATGAGTCACGTGCCACAAGTGCAAGGTGGGTAAGCCGGTCTTGCGACATATGATCAGGCATATGAGGTGGTGGTTGACCTATCATGTGACGTGGAGATTGAGCATGCGAGGTGGTGGTCAACCCATTAAGGCGAAGAGTCACCCATACAATGTGTTTGGATCAGCATGCAACAAAGAAGTGCTTGAGTCAATCATGCGACATGGAGGTTGAGCATGCGAGGTGCTCGACTCTACATGGGATGTACGGTCAAGCATGCAAGGTGGTGGTCAATCCATTAAGGCGAAGAGCCACTCATGCAAGGTGCTTAGCTCGACATGCAACTTAGAGGTTGAGCATGCAAGGTCGTGGTCTACCATGTAATGTGCTCATGTTGGCAACGACATGGAGATTAAGCATGCGAGGTGCTCGGCTCGGCATGCAATGTACGCTCAAGCATGCGATGTGGTGGTCTACCTATTAAGGCGAAAAGTCACCCATACAAGGTGTTTGGCTCAGCATGTAATGTAGAAGTTGAGCATGCAAGGTTGTGGCCTACCATGTGATGTGCTTAGGTCTGACATGGAGGTTGGCCATGCAAGTAGTCGGGTAGATCATTTTACTTGAGGTGGTCTACTAGGTCACGGACACAAGGTGGGCAGGTTGGCACGCGACGTGAAGATTGACCATGTAAAGTGATGCTTGTTTATCCACGCATAGTATGATACCCAGCCGATCTCACTCATTTTGCTGGTCTCCAATAAAGAGCATGTGGGATCGATTTGTTTCTCCATTATTTGGTTGTCTTATTGGGTGGTTGGTGGAGCTGAGCTATTTTTACCTTTATCTCCCCGATGCTCTTGTTTTTATAGAGATGACCAGCCCTTGCTTCATCACCTTCTCTGACATTTACCATGACACATGACAAATTAGCACGGAAGAGAGCGGACCAATGAAAGGTGGCAATGAGGTTGGGTTGGTGGAAATGGCCAGGTCTACTAAACAACCAAGGGATCAAGTTGGTGATGGTGGCTAGGTCCGGTTTGTAGTGAAAAGACCAGCTTGGCTAGATCGGGTCTGTAGCCAAGAAATTTGGCGGGAGGCCTTGGGACCAAGCCGAGCTTTTTTTTTTCCTTTCTCCTTTGGCATGCTACTTATGTTAATGACAACAGCGGTATCAAATGGTGAGGTTTATCTTATCTGGTGAGTTTTCCTGCTTATTATGGTGAGAAGATCTGAGTCGAGCATAAATGGTGAGAAAATCCAAGCCGAGCAAATTATCCATTGTTGGATTAATTTGAATCGAGCAGAATATCATTTGTTGGATTGATCTTGTAAGCTTATGTGCATTTTCTTGCTTGTCTGGATCAGCAATGTCTGGACCATGAAAGGTTGTTCCTAGAGGAGATAAGATTCACGGGGGAGAGATGGGCTTCACCTTAGAGGAATGAGTAATAAGAACGACATAACCTTTTGTGTCGATTTCCTACAAACGGCCCAATTGTTAACGGGTGAAAGGCTTGAGAGTGGTTCACCCATGAATAGGGTTACGTCCACTGTAGAGCTTGTATTTTATTATGGATGAGCATTACAATATACATAGAGAGGCTTGAGAGCCTAAATACATGAGGAAGATGGAGAGTTTGGGCATCTCCGGATATGCCTAAGGGGAGGAGAATGGGCTTCCTTTGTTAGAGGGGGGTCTCTCTCCTTATATAGTTAGAAGAGAAGAGCCACTTGCCCTATGAGCAAGTGGCAGAGGCATGGGAGACATCTTTAGTGGAGCATGAGTTCGGCACATAAGGCCAGTTAGGAAAAGGCATCGGCCTGTCTTCTTAGTGCTCGTGGCACATGGGGGACTAGACTGAGTAGTCCTTGTGTTGGGTAGTGTGGGCACCCTCGAGAAGCACATGTATTCAGGTGGTACCTTATGGTCGGTTAGGACATAGTGAATCAGGTAGGCCATATTAGTCGGGTAGGACATATAGTTCGGGTATGACATTTCGGCCAGGTTACAATGGCTAGCTATGCCATATTCTAACAGGTAGGATATTTCGGCTATGCCATATTTCAGGTATAAGCTGCGCCATTTAGTGCCAACCAGGTACATATAACAATGAGAACTTTTAAGTCAATCATGTTGACAAAGACGAACAACCTACTATGAATCATGAGCCTTTAATACAAATGGTTAGTGGTCGTGGCGAGCCGAGTGTCTATAGCTGGAATGAGGGGTTATGTGTGCCTTTGTTTAATAGGTAAGTGGCAGGCGTAGGGGACATTCACAAGGGAGGATCGGCTAGGTGCCTCTAATACCAGCTCGAGCATGTCAACTTAGCTTGGTGCTAATCAGGTGCCTCTAATACCAGCTCGAGTAGGTCAGGTCAGCTGGTGACGATCAGGTACCTCAGCTCGACTAGGTAGGTGAGGTCACTTTGTACCAACCAGGTACAACAGCTCAACTAGGTAGGTAAAGCAACTTGGTGTCGACCCACTTGGTGCCAACGAAATACCTACACTAACAATCATTGCTGGCTTCAATTGTCTATAAGAAGAAACACGCATACAAAACAAAACCTAGTACCAAGAAGAAGAAAAAAAACACATAATAATTGAAATGAAATTTTGACAACAACTCAGTAAAGAAAACTGCCCAAAACTACTAGATACTTAGAGATTGGAACCGACTTTTTAAATATAGTTCTATATTGTTCTTTGTTATGGGTTTTAGGTTTTCATTTTTCTATATATATTTCTATTTGGTTTATGGGAAAATTAAATTTTTTTAGTTTTTATTTTTGCCTTGGTTGGTTGATTTGGTTTATCTTTTCAATTGTATTGTCTGAGACTTAAAGATGATGCTTTACTGATAATGCATTTCTATTCACAATCATTACAACATACATCAACTTAAATGGCGGAGCTGCATGCATACTTTCGTATAGACCAAAATCTAAACAAAATACTCTAGTTAGTTCTGCCCTTGATAGTTTTTACATATCATAGTTGATTATAATTGATCTATTGGAATTTTTATGTACTTGCCATTTCCATTTTGTAGGTTTTCCTCTGACAACCAGAGCACCACAATTGGTTTTGAAGGCCCATAAGAGCATCCATAATTGGCTCCCTAAACCACCGCCTTAGACAAATTTTAGGGAAGAATTGGAAAAATACAACTCCAACTATTAAAAAGTCATTTAGTACCCACATCATCCCAAATATGATTACCCCCATGTTTGAAAACAAAACGTGCTACAACATGTGCTGCCCGATTGCAACTCCTAGGAGCAAATTAGATTTCTATAAAGTGTCCATGATCTTTCACTAAAACTGAAATACATATAAGACATACCTGATGCTATTTTCTGGAATACACAACCTCGGAACTCATTCAATGGCAGTGGCAACACAATCAAAAGCACGAATGGCTTAAGGCTTCTGCTCTCGCACAGAAACTATTTTAGCTCTCTCTTTATGATGAGATTAGGGTTAGATAACGTGTCTGATGAGAGCAGGGTCTTAAGCTTATATAGGGCTAAGTCAAGTCATCTCTCCAAGGGTCGACTTGACTAACACTCTAAGCCCATCAAGCAACAGTTCACGTAGGACCCCTGTAATTGGCTTCAAAACTTTCCTTAATTCATAAGGTTTTGGATCTCAAGGTATAACCTAATTTAAACTCTTATCAAACCTGATATAACTTAATATCTAGTGCATCGATTTAAATAGGAAAATAACAGCAAACACAAAGGTCACCGGTTAAGTTGAGACAACAACGGCTATATATTGAAGACAATCCCTTCAAGGTCAGCATCCACCTCAGCCTTCCCATTGAGCATCAAGATATATCTCTGAGCATCGGATTCCAACATCACATTCCTGAGTTGTACTTGGACACATCCACTTAGGAGTCATCATTTGGCTCGCGGCCTACGAGGCGAAGTGGTTAGCTCGACTCTCGATGGGCCCAACTTGGCCCGATGGTTAGGCCTGCTCTATGGTTGGGTAGGGTTGGGGCTTAGGTTTTGAAACCTCCGGTCATCCATCGACTTGGCCCAAAAAAGCCCTCCCATGGCCCGGCCCAAGTAAGCCCACCCATTTGCCTTTTTTGTTTTTGGTTTTGCCTTATTTTCATTCTAAACATTTAATTTATTTTTAATGTTGATTCAATTTTTTTTAATTTTTTTTACTTTTCATTCTTATTTTACTTTAATTTATTTTTGTATTACTCCATTTACTTAAGTTTACAATGTAAATAAGGAAGTACCCACCCCATTTGGATTCAATTAAAAATACTAGAAAATCAAATTCCCAACAAATCAAAATATGAAAATCCAATTTTAGTATAAGGTACCATTTATACCAATATTGATACCTCAACATATCTCATAAAATTGAGTTTGCTTATTTAAGATATAAGGAATAAACCGCCAAAAATATCATTGATAAAATTAGTATTTCGGAAGTCCATTTTTCATACTTAGTCAAAATTTTGATAAATTGTTTTCTCTCAAAATTTGACTAAGTATGAAAAATGGACTTTTAAAATATTAATGTTTTCAATGATATTTTTGGCGGTTTATATTCCTTACATCTTAAATAAACAAACCCGATTTTATAAGATTTTAGTATAAAGTATACATTGACTTGTTGAACTATCAATATTGGTATAAATTGTATCTTATACTAAAATTGGATTTTTCTTATTTTGATTTATTGGGAATTTGATTTTCTAGTATTTTTAATTGAATCAAATAGGGGGTACTTCCTTATTTACATTGTAAATTTAAGTAAATGGAGTAATACAAAAATAAATTAAAATAAAAGATAAGAAATTTACTTAAATGTTTAAAATGGACCCTACTTTTTGCTAATAATCATGTAATGTTGAACCCTACTTTTTTTAATTTTGATTCCACCTGGTTTCTATATCATAATAGGGAATGTGATTGGCAATCAAATTGCAAAAATCTTCTAATTTCATTATGCTTATCAAAAGCTAAGGGGGCGTTTGGTATCCTATT